AAACCGTTGGTCAATTCGGGTACTCGGTTTGGCTCGCCCAATATAAACAGCCACTTAACTGATTTAAGCCGGTTTTCCACTAGGCGGAATTTTGCACGCGGAGCGGAATTTTTCTTTGTCTTGTGATTTCTCGGGTGGAACTAATCAGTTAGAAAAGACAAAGAAAGATTCCGCTCCGCGCGCAAAATTCCGGCCTAGTGGAAAACCGGCTTTACTCACTTCTCCTCTGTTGTACTTAATCACTGTATTTGGTTCGTCGCATGAAAGGTTCGCCTTCTATGCCTGAAAGAGGAGATATTTTATGTATGGCGAGGAAAAAGATATATTCGAGTAGGTCGAAAAATCTCAATAATCTCGTAAAACACACTGAGATCCCGAAGGTAGTGTAATATTTCTACTCTATATAGACAGTGTTACTATTAATTTTCTAGAACGCCCTTGTTCCCCACATCGCTGGCGGAGGTGTACACTCTCCATGTGCCCTCTTGTATTTTTGAGGTCGACTGTTAGCTGTTCGAAGTTAGGGAAACTTGTGCATTTAAATTCCAGTATAAATTAGCTGGTGAGCTGTCGAAAACTTGTGGAACTGACCATCAAATAGAATTTGAAGAATAGAAAGTTTTTGCGATATATCATGGGAAATGTTGCCTCTCTTTGACCAATTAAAGAATAACATGATGCATGTATGTTTTTCGTAAACATCCATATTGACGGCCAAATTATTCAAACGTACGTTCTCCTTGACAGTTTTACTTACTTGCGTGGAAGAGCGTTAATCTTTAATTAAGCTGGTCCACAAATGAGCGTTCTTTGAGTTAGTCCGTATAAATATGCGTTATGCATGCTTCATGCTCATGAATGCTATATGTTTCATATTTCAAACCATGAAAACACGTGATATATATCATCATCATAAAACATGATATATATCATGTTTTAAAATTGTTTCATAACTTGTTTCGCCCAGTGTTAAAGTCAGAGAGTTTATCAAGAAATTACAGCTACTGGAGCAAAGTCTGAGGGAGGGCGGTTTTCGCATACAGTTACATGTATGCATTAAAACAACTCTGTATTTGACTTTTATAAAATGCGGGATGCCGAGAATGTGAAGAATATGAGATATAGCAGGCAGATGCATGCATGCAGCTTCCTCAATGATATTGAACTCTTTTATCAATGATAAAAAGGGCTAGGGTTAGGGAAAACTATTTTATCAATGAAACAGCGCGGCGCTCATTTGAACTAATCTTGCTTCGCTATACTGACATAAGCAAAGGTGGTGAATGTAGAACACAAGAAATTGCTGACCAAGTGAAGAAATGGTCTTTACAAAACAAAGACCACGTAAACTCAGACAAATGCAAGAGCTATGAATTTAATTCATTTGACAGAAATACGCTGCATGGACATTGTGCTGTAATGTAAAATGTTTTTCAGCTGACCGGCAGGTATCGAAAGTAGCCACTGATATACACTAAGACTGGATAGAGCATCGTAATAGAAGGCACAATCGAAAAGTGAAGCCAGATTGAAGCCGGAAGTACGTCATGTTTTGAGGCCGGCCGCCAGCAGAAAAATTTTTTGGGATCACTTTAAGGCTTGGTTACCAAGCACTGAACTATATTTTTTAACTGGATACATCATAAAAGTGTATTTTACTTCCGGTAGTGCAGAGTGGGTAATTAAAAATAATTTATGATTGTTTATACTTTATAAACTTCTGATGCTGATATTGTGTTAATTTAAAAAAGAAATATATCGGAGAAACTGCAATCAATAAATGAGGTGAGTACATTTATTTACATATTTACAGAGTTTGTTCTATGCTGGCCAGTATTTAATAGGCTATTTGGGAGCGAAAACATTTCGTTTCTGCACTTTGTTTGGTGAAAATATATAGAAATTATCTCAATTGTTTTTTTTACATTTCGATTTGAGTTGACTTTAATACAACACATAATCTGCAATAGTGTGTGAGTTTAATAGTACCATTCAAATTCCTCGTCTATGGCTTCCCATAACCCATGGGTGGTGGAAATTCAGGGAAGAAAGTGACTTTAATAAGGGGCTGTTCGTTTGCCCAATGCCTAGCTTAAACACGGTGTCCTATCACTGGGCTAGAATTTTTCCTACAATTTTTCCTTTTCGTGATAAAATACACTCCATTGACGAGTAAAATCGTATGGTGTTAGATAGAGTAAACCAAAGTGGGGTGCATGGGGAAGCATTGCGTGTTAACATTAGGTTAATTACTAAAGGAGGTTTCACATTCCGTGATGGGGGGGGGGAGGGGTAATAAAGAATCCTCAATTACAACATAAACAGGATGACAAGTATGACATTGGTGATTGGCAATGGGGTAGGGGAGGGGGTAGAGCAGTCACAGAACAAATCTGCTCTGAAACACAGGGCAAATCTGCTTTGAAAACTACTTTTAATCTATACCACCAAGTTTTGCTTCAGGACGGTCATTTCCCAGCTGGCGGGGCTCATATAAACAGCCCCTAAAGGGGGAAATGAGGAACTAATGTTTATACTGGTAACTACATATATTGTACACGGTCACCCCTGATTTTATATATTTTATTTTGAGATTATGTCATCATGCTAGCCTGGGGCCAGTTGTTCAAAGCTGGGTTAGTGCTAACCCTTGGTTAAAATTTAACCTGCTGTTTTAGTTTATGTATTTCTGCACGTCTGTTTATTTCAAAACGTCAGAGAAGAGAACTCCTACTGAATCAGACAAGATTTCTGAAGAAATATTTCCAAATTTATATACAAGTTTGCTTTAGATAGATAGATAGAGACTTAAGTTTATTTAAAGAGGGTGACACTTAATAGTACGAAGTACTAATGAACTTGTGGCCCTCATAAAATTTACAAAAAATTAGGGAGTATATCTATTGTCTATTTACAACATTTATATATATATATATATATATATATATATATATATATATATATATATATATATATATATATATATATATATATATATATATATATATATATATATATTAAATAAATATTAAATAAATTGAATTTGAATTTTAAATTAACCTAGGGTTAAGCTAACCCAGCTTTGAACAACTGACCCCAGGTTTATAATATTTGTACAAATCTGTAGTAACAATGACAATACTTTTAAATTTATATTTACACAATTTATATAGTGAATGCATCTCTAGTACCAGATACAGATATTGCACAGCACACTCCCTACCAGCGGTTTTTCAGCGACTGGTGACATTAGAACCAGAACTGGCATGAAGCAGACCGAGGTACAGGGCCGCCGAGAGCTTTCTTGGGGGCCCCTATTCCTCTCCCCCCCTTGTCGTTTTCCAGACAAAAACATTTTGATTGCTTCCGTAGCACTTTCCCCAACTTTATTCATACAAAATTTTGGTACTTTGCCCGAAAAATGGAAATATATTGCCAGAAAAAATTACTCCCCCCCAAAAAAATTACTAGAGGCCAGGGGCAATTTGCCCCCTTTTTCTGAATTTTTGTCGTAACGTTGTATTTTTTATTTCTTAATTTTAACAAAATAAGAAAAGGAATTTTCAATTTGCTCCTTGGAAAAGGAACACGTTCCTTACTTTTGTAATTAATTACATTTTTCGTTACATTTCTAAAAACATAATTACAGGTTAAAATTACTTCAAATGTAACGAGTACACAGTAACGCATTATAATTGTAACGAGTATTTACAGCGCTGTGGTCATTATTTATGGGGGGGGGAGGGGGTTGATAAATGGGGAATATAAGGATTGAAAACCTTTTTGACCCCCACACCAGAATGAATGCAAACTTTTTGTGCCTCCCTCATAAAGTGAAAAGCTTGACACTTAGTGTGGCTTGAAAAATTAACAGTAATGAAACAGGTGTGTGTGTGTTGCAGCAAGTTATATATTAGGACAATCTGTTTAATCTAGCTTATGATGTTTTACCCTGGTGAATATGATTCAACCATATGTGATTAAAAAATATATATTAATTATGTGTTACTACTTTGCAATGCAACATTTGTCCTACCATAACCCTAACCCATGGCCCGTCTTCATACAGTGAAATGATTTGAACACAGGGCTTTTTTTAAGAACTTGTCTGGGGGTGGATATCTACAAAAAGGACCCGATACTATACTGGTTGTTGGGGACAAAACGTTTGGTGTGGTATTGCATGTACTAGTAGGGAGGTCTGGGGTATTCTCCCCCAGAAAATGATTTGTGTTTTTCCACTCCTAGGACTGAAATGTGAGCATTTTCTGAAACAGATTTTTGGATATACAATGTTACATTGTGCTTTGATAGGGCGTAAAAAAAAAACTTGTGGTTCCGGTTCCCGACCGACCCTATTTTTTTTCTGCCGACCCTATTATTTTTTCAACGCAATTGACCGCGCGACCCTATTTTACCCAGGTGGTTGCGGGCTGCTCATACAGCGTGCCAATATGGCGTCTGTTGTCACACTAATTCTTGAACCAAATTGCCTAAATTCGTCCATAGGAAATACGCATCTCTAGTTAATATTGATGTCAGGACAATACTGCCAGTTTAAGTCGATTCCCTGCGAAAGTAATTGAAAGTTTTACTACTTTTACGAAGATTAAACATGGAATTTAAATAGACGTACAATGATAATAAAAGACGTACAATGATAACAAATGATTGTATTGAACATTCAAATGTGATTTTATGTTACTGTCTTCTCATTCTACAGTATATGGGCATGAATAGTAAAAACACGCTTAGTTACATGAATAGTAAAACGCACTTTCCGAAATGGACTTCAAACGAAGTTTTAATAAATTTCTGATTTTTTACTTGATAATATTATATCAGGCTTTTGGTTATAAATTGTAAAATGTATAAATGTAAATCTGACATCATATTCATCATAGCTAGCAAGATAAAACCAAAAGCAATCAATAGGAAAGAATTGACCAATTGAAAGCGTGTATTATAAGTTGTAACAAAATTGATTCAAAACGTTTTACCTTTTTTACAGGTAGCGGAAGCAATGTTTCCTTGGTGGTGGATTTTGAGATATCTCCACAGAGAAGACATTTTACCTCACTTCTCAGACTAAATTGGAAAGAGTTTAGGAAAGAAGTATCGCAATGTGATGGAACAATTCCCTTGTCGCAATAATCCAAGGAAGTTATATCCAATGCTCGCGTGAAATCCAAGAAAAACTCGGCGGCACATTGCTGCATTCCAGTTTGAAAGCTCTCATTGATCATCGGTAACTGTGCTATCAGTGAAGCTGGCCGTAAAACACCATGACAGTTTTGAGCTCTGTAACCTTCCATAAACAGTATTGTGCTGCACAAAATACAAGGTTTACCTGTACAGTAATGCAAACCTCCATATTAATAAAAAGTAATTAAATCCGTGAAATAAATCCATATTAAAAAACGTAATTAGTAAAAGAGTTGATAAATCTAATGCGAGTTTAATATACGGTAGAATAGACACTGGTTATATAGAGATTTTATTGATAGGGTAGCGTAATTACATGACGGTACTCTTCATACGGCCATAAGAAAATGTAAATACTAAGTGAGCCCCCTGGATGAGCTTAAATAGCTCTTGGGGCAAACGATTAAATATGTTTAAATAAAAAAAAAATACTAATGTACTGCTAAATGGAATAGATTAAAAACTTTGAAGTGTTATTAGTAGTGTGACGCGCGCAAATATCTGTCTATATAGTTATCTGACTACTATGACGCGCCTTGTTATCTAAACTGTTCCATATGGAGATAGCATTTTCGAACGGTCTTGGCATGAGTCCCGTAAAGGCAAACTTACAATCTTGGGATAGTCTGCAATAAATCGTAGACTGATCTCAGCCCACTGGAGCGGCGGAGAAACAGTCTGCGATCAATCAACACTAATGCCGTACAGTTACGTAAGCAGTATTTTGCATAATTAATTTAAAATTATCAAAAAAATGTCAAATCCAAGATGGCGGACACAAAGCAACTAGCAGAGAAATTATACATAACAATGTAATTTATGCAATTTTCGGCGTGATCACAAAGGAAAATTTCAACCAATCCTATTCCGCTCCCCGTTGTGCTGGAGTAACTGTACGGCATTAGTGTTGATTGATCGCAGGCTGTTTCTCCGCCACTCCAGGGGGTGGGGGAGTCAGCTCAGATCAATCTGCTATCGCAGACTATCTCGGGAGGGCTTACCACAGAAAAAATAAGACAGCATAAACATAATTATTCAAGACGGTGCTCTAGCTGACTAGCAACCTTTTAGGACCCAACCTTTTGATATCCCCCCTGGATGAGAGTTTATATTAAAGGTTTGGAATGGAAGTGCACATTTTTAGGGAATCCTAAATTTCCAAGGTATATTAAACATAATGGCTCCTTGGTTGTATGTACTATACAGTATAAACATTGTATTTTGTTGTAGCATCTTTTGGACTAGAAAAGTTTCACTTTAGTGATATAGGAATATTGTAAATGGTTGGCAATGAGAGGGAATTTTTTTACACAAAAGGGAAATGGTTACACTTGGTCACACTTTGTTGCCCTCAATCACACTTGATTACACTTAGTTATAGTCACCATTGGACACACCTGGTTACACTTAGTTACAGTCACCATTGGACACACTTGGTTACACTTACTTACACTTAGTTACAGTCACCATTGGACACACCTGGTTACACTTGGTTACACCTGGTTACACTTGGTCACACCTGGTTACACTTGGACACACCTGATTACACTTGGACACACCTGATTACACTTGGACACACCTGGTTACACTTAGACACACCTGGTTGCACTTGGACACACCTGGTTACAGTTAGTTACAGTCACCATTGGACACACCTGGTTACACTTAGTTACACTTAGTTACAGTGACCATTGGACACACCTGGTTACACTTGGTTACACTTGGACACACCTGGTTACACTTGGACACACATGATTACACTTGATCACACCTGGTCGCACTCAGTCACACTCCTCACGCCTGGTCACACTCCGTCACACTTAGTTACCTTTGGTCACACCTGGTTGCACTTGGTCACACTCCTCACACATGGTCACAGTTCCTCATGCCTGGTCACACTCAGTCACACTTAGTTACCTTGGTCACACCTGGTTACACTTGGTCACACCTGGTTACATTTGTACACTATTCCATTTTTGTTACACTTTGTCACACTCAGTCACACTTAGTTACAATCACCATTGGACACACCTAGTTACACTTGGTCACACTTGATTACACTTAATTACACTTGGTCACACCTGGTTACATTTGTACACTATTCCATTTTTGTTACACTTTGTCACACTCAGTCACACTTAGTTACAATCACCAATGGACACACCTAGTTACACTTGGTCACACTTGATTACACTTAATTACACTTGGTCACACATGTTACACTTGGTTGCACTTTATCACACTGGGGCCAGTGGGATAATGTTTGAAATATCGAGACTCTAGATTATTATTGGAAGTGTATTTTCAGTCTATTTGAGAACCTTTTCTATCTGTTTTTTGTTTTGGCTTTTTTTCAAATTGGGCCATTCCATTTAATATAGGCAACACCCCCCCCCCCCTCCCCCCCCATTGAGGGGTATGGATATCCTATAGGGGGAGGGGTTTTTACCTAAGATGTTCCTAGAGGGTAGCTTAAGAGATTTTCAAAAAAATAACAAAAATTAGGTGTTTTAGTGATATCCAAGAAGGCAAAAACGATATCCTAAAGGGGTGTCAAGATATCCATGGGGTAACTTCCAAAAATCGCATCCAAGGGGGTTCTAAAATTTTATATCCTAAGGGGATTAGGAAGGGATGCCTCAATAGGGGCGTGCCTATATTAAATAGTGGGGGTGGGGGGGGGTGCCTATATTATTTGGTGGTGGGGGGGTGCAAAAGCTGTTTTGCCTAACAAATAAATTGTGCAACATTCATCGGTAGTACAGTATATTACCAAAAATGTAAAAGTAATAAGAAATTTACTTCTTACCACGTCTTTCCTGTCGACATTGAATCCTGTCGTGTCGCATTTGCAGCAGCCATTTCCATATCGGTGGACAGATAACAAAGCTTGAAGAGTACTGTTAGCAAAACAGGTATTTCCCAAATTTTGTATGCCTTTCGGTATTAAAGTCAACATTTTTATCAAGATTGGGCAAAAACGAAACGCTTACGCCAAAATCTGGAACAGCAGGAATGAAATCAAAGTATTTCGCGGCGAAATGCAAATTTCCCGCGTTTTAATATTTATGATTCTAAACGGGAAGTCGACAACCGGAAGTAAAATAACAGGATTGATCTTTTTATGACCAATCCAGTTAAAAAATATAGTTCAGTGCTTGGTAACCAAGCCTTAAAGTGATCCCAAAAAATTTTTCTGCCGGCCGCCATGTTGAATGGCCCCACTTGAGGAGTGAAAGACTATAGATTCTATTGTAAAACTGGTATTTCAAGGACAAGCACACATCGTAGAGGAATGAAGAACATTCGAATGTTGAAAGAAACTAAATCGCAGGTAAATAATTTGATATTTTTACCCACTTGTTTTGATCGTCGAAATATCAGAGCCGACCGAACGTCAGAACACAGCACTATACTCTGCAGATTACGAAGTAACCTGAAGTTCAGGCCCTATAAATCACAGAATAGGGCCTGACACAAAACCTGCCTAGACCGTGGGACGCCCACATGTTATTTTTAGACACAGCATGCAATATGATTGGCAAGTGTTGTAGATTTCGTTACACAAAAATTTATATTCTCATGAACATGTCCGCGGAGTGTGCATTTTGCCTTTAATTAAACTTAAAAATTCAAGGTACCTTTATATATATTTAAGAGTCAGTTTCTCTATCTAACCGAACAGCAAACAAAGATTTAATTAGTCAGTTCTGTGCATGGCTTGACTGCCTAGCTTTCTCAAGGTCTCATCTTGCTGGACGCGGATATACTCTGACGGGTTAACAACAGCAACAATGAAATTCTCAATCGTACCACGAAGAAGGCGATGTAGCTCAGGAAACAACGCCGGTAGGACCTGATATTAAAAATAAGACTTTTGCCGGCGAAGCTAGTTGGCAGAACATCTTGGCTGTCAACAACAAGCTTTCGAATACATGACTAGTTTGGCTGTTCTTTCAGCGTCCTGTGTCCAAAATTCGTCAAAGACTTTGATAAAGCTCTTTCAAAATACTGTTTGTTTGATTTATTTTCTGCCATAAAGCATAAAAGAAAAGAAATTTGAAGAAATCGATAACGGATTTGTTACGTGCGTTTGACCTTTATATTAATTGTCGCCTTGAGTCCTTGAGCGAGCTATTTTTAAAACTGTTGTTTATGTGAACTTGCAGCCAATCAAAATATTTCATGATGCTGATCAACCAATCAGATTTACCGTCCACCAGGTGGACGGGAATCCCACAGCTTAGATAGGTTTTGTGTCAGGCCCTTTCTGTGATTTAGGGCCTGAACTTCAGGTTAATTACGAAGTAATTGTGATTTTTCAGTATAACATAGTCACTTACTACCGTACTAAAACAATTACGTAAGTTTTTCAGTGACTAGGTAGATTTTAAGCGGCATAACATGACCATAGTGTGCAGTGTAAATGTAATTGACATAATTAATTTTTATGCCTTCTCTGGCAAATTTGTTCTCTAATAGACTAACTGGCCAGGGTGCTTTCCATGTAAACTACGCCGGAGACACGCCAACATATACGATAGTTCACGCCAGTCAGGGGCGGCGGAACAGGGGGGTTAGGGGGGCTAAAGCCCCCCCAGAAGTAAAAGTGGGGGGGCTTAGCCCCCCAGAAAATTTGAATTTTTTGAAAAAATTTTGATAATTAGGGAAAAATTTAGGTTATATTTTGAAAATTTAGGCATAAGGGGACAAATTTGCAATATTTTGTTTAAAAAAAGTGTATTTCCGAAAACATTTTTTGATATAAGTCCGAAAAAATTTTTTTCGTCCCTTTTTTCCCTAGTAAAACCCGATACTTTAAAAATTCAAAATAAATATTTCTATTCGGCGTATACATACGAAACTTTCTACACGAAAGCGCTTGAATACAAAGAGTATTTTACACATATATTCTTTCAGGAAATGACACCAAAGTTTAGAATATATTCAACTTTTTCTAATTTTCTCGTTTGAATGTTTGGCGAAGCGGTGAGTATAAATATATGATTGTTTCGGTTTGTGTAATGTTTTGACGGCACTTGACCCCCCGTTCGAAAGGTTATATTGTGAGGATTTCAATGGTGGCATTTATTAAATAGGGGGTAAATAC